ATCAGTACCTGATCTCCTTCTATTGATAAATGCATATTGGGTGTCCACACTGACATTTCATCTGAGGATTATTATTCAGCTGATCTTGACATTTCAACTTGCTGCAGACTGAACTGGCCAGCCTTGCTCATGGGAGGCTCCAGCTCTTCACTCTCTGAATGTCCTCAGAGGGCACAGATACAAGGGATATACTTCAGTGCTGGGTTCCACCTTGGTTTCCATCAATTCCCTGCCATGCCCCACAACAGCCAAAGTCACACGGCACTCTGAGGTTTACAGTTCTAAGGTAACTCCATCAGAGAGGATTTTTAAAGGTTAAAGCAGCAAGTTAAAGAATCAGCAAGGGCTGTAAGCATTCAATCTATTCTCATGCATAGGGTCAACTCACTAGATTGCCATCCTTCCGAGTTTAAGCAAACCAGTACAGAACCCAAACCTTTTTAAAAGCCAATCTTTAGTTAAAGAAAGAGGGTATGAAAGGAACAAGAAAACAAAATGCTTAATTTAATTACTGTCATCAATTTTAAAAGCTCTGATATTTTGAAAACAAATGATAGCTAAAGATTTTTGTGGCAATTGTCATCCAACAGACAGTATTTTTGCAGGAGCATTACAATCATGAAACAAGATTAATAATGGAAGGGGGACTGGTTCATTATCAAATTGTATTTGGACTTTGTGCCACAAGAAGTAATGACCTGACATTAGCAATCCATGAACTGAATTATATCCAGCTAATTTTGTGGCTCCCAGAAGAGAGGCACTGCAAGTGATGAGAATAATTTTTCAATGACTAAACACTAGATCAATATATTAGCAAATAACTTGGTTCTCAAAGCTAAAGCATAACTTAACTTCCCTATTTTAACACAGTAGAACTTTATAAAGCCATAAAAACCAATATGGTGTGATCTCACTCACTCTGTATTTCTCAGAACTTCTGAGAACGGAAGAGTGGCAACTCAAAATTAATTTAGCTGTATCAATGATCTTTGCCAGGGCTTGAAATTAAGGCGATACAGTAACTTGATAGCAAGATAAAGAAGGCATTGCAGGCAAGAAGCAAATTTGTTAGCACTCAGCATTAGCCGACAAGAAGTTGCGGGTGTGAGCAATGGCCATGGTCAGGCTGCCCACGCGTGCTGCCGAGGCGCCGGTCACGCCGCAGCCCCGCGTGTGGCTCGGCCGGGCAGCGCCCAGCCCCGCTCCGCTGCGGGAGCGCCCGGCGGGCCAGGCATCTCTGCCGACTGCTCCGCACGCGTTTCTTATCCAGAAACTCACTCACAAGGGAGAGGGAAAAAAAAGCGGGGGGGAGGGGTAAAGAAAAAGTGGAAACAAGTGGAAATAAGCAGGACTCATCGGAACGAGAGACCGCATGACCCCACGGGCACATGCCAGGACACCGGGAGCTCCCGGCTGCAGCAGCGCCCACCCATTCGCCGCCGCCGCCCTCCCCGTCCCGCCCGCGGCTGCCGCAGGAGGCACCGGCACCGGCCCGGCCCGCACCACCCCCCGGGGGCCGGGCCACCACCCTGCGGGGGCCGCCCCGAAGCCCCCCGGCGAGGCGTGGCTGCCGGGCAGCTCCGCTCCCTGGCGAGCCCCCGCTCCGGGGGGTGCCCTGCCCGCCGCTCCCGGCCGGGATTACCCGCAGCGAAACCTCCGGTCCCCTCAGAGCCAGCCCCGCCGAGGGGGCAGTGGCCGCGCCACCTCCAGCCACCGAGCCTCGGCTTCGCCCTCCTCCTGCTGCGGACGGCCCGGCCCGGCTGCGGGCCCGCCCCGGGGTCAGCGGCGGATGAGCGCTTTGCCCCGCTAATCCCCCGCAGGCGCCGGCAAAGCCGGGCGGGCTCGGCCCGCCCCGGGCAGGGCGCGCCGGGGGCACAGCCGGGGCGGCCCGGGCTCCCTCCCGGCCGGACAGCGGCGGCTGCCGGGCCGGCCACGGCCACTGGGGATCCCGGGCCGGCCGCCCCCAGAGCCGGGTCAGAGCCCCGCACCCTGATCGGCCCCGCGGGGATTACACGGCGCCCGGCGAGGCTGCTGGCCTGGCACGGGAGAGCTGCGGCCCGTGGCCTTGGGACTGCCCATGGCTGCGCTGCCCTGAGGAAACCTAAGGGACCTACCTGGCCCTCTAAAGATAATGCGCATCTCATGCACGCCCCGAGCTCACCTGTTGCAGAGAGGTGACGGCACTGCAGCAGCACAACAGAAGTGCAATAATGTAACAGCGGACTAAAGTTGCAAGACTAAGTACTCAAAAGTTGGAAATTGATGAATTTTATAAGTACAGCTGCTATATGGTATGTGAAGCAGGCTTTAATTATGCTGTGGTTAGGTTTTCTTCGCAAGATCTGTGACAAATTCACGGCAAAGAAACAGCCAAACTCCGTCAGCACTGGAGACCATGTACCTCCATCAGAGACTTTGTTGTGTTGAGTTTGTCTCCTTTCGTTTTTCCGATAATATTTGAACCTGGGTTTTGTTTTCAGACAGGTCTGACTTGAGGGGAATTGTTTCAGAGCTATCTATGTTCTACATCTTTCTCAAAAGCAGAGTAGATACCAGGTAGTTCATGGATGACCTCTCCATGTGAATATATCTGTAGCAGGTATGGCTGCCTATCCCATCCCAGCCATCAAAGTAATCACACAGGCAAGAAACCTTATGAAATTCCTCCCTGTGGGAAAATCATCAACAGAAACTTCTGAAACCCCAATGCTAAACAGCCATGAGCCAGACATGTATAAGGACAAGAGGCCTCTTTGATTTCCTTCATCCAAGTACTACTACTTTATTGTATAAAGGTTGTTGACAGTTTTAGACTGTGCACTGCATTATGCATGTAGAAATTCACGAGGGATAGTATAACATCCCATATAGACCTTATTAACTCCTTTTGTTGCTGGCTGCTCTGTCCCTTCATAACAGTCCCTCTTTCCCTAGTTGAGACCCTATAAAAATACAGAATGAGCTTCCTAGTTCTATGATCCTATTATAGTAATTAGAGTTGGAAGCACTAGCATAATAGGGCCTCAATTGTAAAAATATATCTTTTAGGCTCAAATGACTACAGGAGCAACACTCAGTGAAAGCTTCTCCCTCCTTGAACAAAACTCTCATTGCTTTCAGTTGTGCTTGGGAGTGTCTGGCACCCCACTGCCTTTCAGCTGTGTGTCTAATGGATGGCGAGTCACATGCAGAAACATGACAGTCTAATCCTTTGATCATGCAGAAGCTTGGCCAGAGTTCACCATCAAAAAAAAGGCTAGAAGCCTCTCAGTGGAAATTTGGGTGCAAAAGGAGTGATAGGTACTCATAGCTCTTCTCCCAGGAGGAGCTTGCATGCATCCGACCAGGGAGCTGAGAAGTGTTTAGACACAATCATGGGAAAAGACAGTAACATCAGTAATTGGCTGATATGTCCCTTTCCACTTCTAGCAGTGCTGTCTTAAAACCACTGCTGCCCACCTCCTCTAACTCTCACTGTATACCAACGTTACCATCCCTTAGCTCTGAAGACCTAAAATTCTTTATGAGCACTCCCTCTGTCAAAGGAGCCTCAAAGGCAAAACCCCATGATAAGACTCAGATAAACCACTTGGACTATTGGACACCCTTATGTCCTCTGCAATAATTAATTTTTCATTTCACGTGGTCTCTGAAACGCCAAAAAATTCCTATCTGTTTCATTTAGGTAATCCTGAATGATATATAAGTAATGGCAGCTTGTTGCTGCAGAAAGGGTCTTAGTTTAAACCAGTTAAAGTCATAACCAATGTCCAAGGCCTATAGAGCTAGGCACTGTTCAAACAAACAGGGAATGAGAGTCTGTGTGTCAAATGGACACTGACTGTGCTGGAAAATTTGCACATGAAATGATTACATGACATTCACTGTCATGCAGCCTAGTCACATTCCTCCTTTGACTTCATTTTCACTCTTACGTTCTTTTTCCATCTCAATCTGCTTTGGATGTTGTCCCTCATTTTCCCAAAAAATTACTGCTTTGCTTTTATCTAGAAAGCTTTTCAGATGAGATTTCAAAGTTCTAGAATAAATATGGGTATATGCTTTCTCTTCCCCAAAATAAATTTGAAAAAATTAAGGACAAATATTATGCATTGACAATATCCGGATATATATACTAAAAGTCAAATGAAGTGTGGTCATCTCCAGCTGTACCTGGTATGAGGTCGTTGTGCTTAATGCCACAAGATAGCATCTATACAACATTAGCTTTTTAACAGATTGTGATTAGATTAGTTTCAGACTTTCTCCTTGCTTTCAACACAGTTTTTACCTTCATAGAAGCATTGTGGGTGCAAGTCTGAAAACTATTTTTAAATTACTATGTGACAAATACAAAAGCAGGATGAACAGACAACCTTTCAAAGCATCTTTAACACTAGATTACATTAGGGAGTTGCTTTTAGAATGTCTTACTCTTCATTTTTAAAATGTAATGTACCCAAAACATACATAAGTAGAATAGACCTCTTACTCTAGAATTTATACATTCAGACTTCTACATTCTTAGAAGCTTCTAATAACAAAAAGGGATGGGGGCAGTGGGAATTTGGGAAGTATGCTCTTGTGACTAAGGCACCAAATTAAGGCTATAATTTATTAAATATAATATTTTCTATATTGTGAAAGATCATGCTATATCCAAATAAAGTCAGGATGCAGATAGGCAGGACAAAGTGTACCCTCCCTATAAAAGTGGGTCTTTGGCTACTAGGCTCCAAATCCTGGGCAGAGCTCAGCCATAGAAAGTTTGTGGGACCTAAGGCATACATTCCTGCTTTTAATCTATTTTTCTCTTTATAATTGATCTTTTTATAGTATTCTACTCAAAAGGAGTTATTTTGATGGTTAATGAGGTACATATGCAAATAACAAGTGACACACAAAAAGATAAGGAGATATATAAATGATAACTTAAGAAAATAAACAAGCATGCTTAATTAGCAGAAGACCACCACTATAAGCGTCAAAGAACTTACCTCTCTGGGGAAGTGCTTTTTGACCTCTCTGGCTGCTTAACTGAGCACAGGCTGTAGCAAATATAAGGAACTCCTCCCCTTTGGTGTTTATTACAGAGGAGCAGTACTTCCTGCAACACCTGAGTAAATATCCTCTAGGAAAACCACCACTGAGTTTGTCTACATCTAGTTCAGTATTCTTTTGATCATAAATACCATCTACCATAATGAATTATCAAGGATGTCCAAAAGCATAAGTTATTTATTGAATGCATAGTTTTCTCTAAAGCAACTCTGAGCTTTGCCAGATATTTTCTTCAGTTGATCAAAAGAGCTCTGTAACCCCTTTTGAAGGCCTTAGATGTGTGATCCTTGTAATCACATTTAACGGGCTGGTTAGCTCAGGAGATTGTTAATAGGATACAAAACCTTTAACATCCAACCCAGATCATTGCAGATGAAAAGCTGTGACTATTCAACAGCTTTTTCATGTCCTATGACCTAACTTAGTTCTTAAAGGAGAAATGCTTGTATTCCTTCAAATTTACAGAATGTGCTTTTCAGACCTTTTTTTAACTGCACATGTAATACAGAACATTTGACAAACAGGAGAATAATTTAAAAGCTCAGTGGTAACTAATGAATCCAATTAAATCTGGAATCAAGAGAATTTTGAAATGTTCCACTCCAAAACTGTCTCCACAGTCTTAACAAGCCCATAACCACAGAAATTGCCAGAAAATAAGAACGGTTTAGGAAACTGACAGTTCTTCACTAAAATGTGCCTCTGTAGGTCCCTGTCATTATACCCAGGAGCTGCACATCTATCACAAAGTATTACCTTTGAATGGTGATAGCCTAACTCATGCTTATTGATTCATATCCAGTAGGGAAAAAGTATTACAAGTAAAATGTGCAAGGCATTGTATTAAAATTTCACAGTTGTTTCTATTTCACTGGCTTTGAGGTAGCAAAGTTTTAGGGTTTTCTTTGTTGTTTTCTATCTAAGAAAGTCCTAAGTTAGACGCAGTTTGAACTCATGTCTCAAATTCAGTTTTTAAAAAGGTGCACTTAATTTTTTCAAACAAAATATTGAGAAAAAGATGCATTGGAAAATTTGGGATATAAAACCTTCCTACAGTTTTTAAAAAGTGCAGTAGAGAAGCTCAGGGACCAAGTGATAACTGCAGAGAACTATGCTGCAAAATGTGTCCTGGCCTGGTGTCAGGACTTGCTTAGAGTACCCTTATCCTTTTCTTGGAACACACTGATCACTAAAATAACATTAAAGGATTTTGCTTACGTGCAGTGATGTCAACCAGTAAGAAGGTGTTGGGACATCTGAGGATTGCTGCTTTCTGCATATCTGGGGTTAATGGAAAGTGCCAGTCTTGGAAATATGCAGGTAAAGATTTGAGGTTGTGGTACTGCCATTTCCAAGTGTGCACAATATGTCAGTTATGAAACTGTCTTAAAAATTGTGGGATTAAAAATCTAAAAAAAGCAATAAACAGCACCAGTCACATGGTAATATTGGTCATGTGGGTCATCTTGTTAGTCATTTTGTTAATACAGCAGTTACCAGACTAACTGCTTAAAGATTTCAGGATTGGTACTTAATAGGTTTTTGCAACATCTTTTTGAATCAGTTGTATGGAGGGTCTCACTTGTATCCAAGTGGCAGTGCCTGTCTTATGAGGTGTATATGTATTTTTTTACAGTTGTTGCTGTTTGTTGTTTACAGTTGTTGTTTACAGTCATTCTTCCCAGCCCTTGAAGGTTTAGGTGATCAGCAGTCTGACATTAAGTAAAATACCTATTAAACAAATACCACAATTGACACCACTAAACATGAGTGTACTTTGGTATATAAATAGGACTGTGAACTAGTGAAGTATAAGCAGCATTGGGGTGCTGATAACTGAAGCAGTTAAATTGATTTTTGATATGTGCATCTAATTAGCATCTAGCATTCAGTCTCTTAATTTCATTCCAGGTCCTGCTATTTAACCATTTCTTTTAATGGGGCAAATAGAGGTCTTTTCATATCAGGTGATAAGAGAAGACTCAGTGTTGACCAAGTGTACTTTTTCTTCTGCCTCTGAAGGGGTAACAGTGCACAAAAGGAAGTGTAGTGATAGATGTTATTTTGTACAAATGAGATGGAGAGACAGTTTTGCTTGTTGTTTAGCCGGAGCACACACATTTCAGTACAGGCACAAAAGACATTATGGTTTATCTAAGACCAACTTAAAATTGTATTAGTTCCAGTAGTCCTGGCAAGAGTCACAAGGCACCAGATCCTTAATCTGTGGATTAACTGGATGTTGAGGTAACCATTTGTAAAAATTATACTACTAATCCTCATAATATGTAAGGAACTCTAAAATGTAATTTAAGTATTCATCAACAAGATGGAAAAGAATGGTAACCTAAAGCAATTTCATGAGCTTTATTTGGCTATAACTTTTTAAATTTTTTTTTTTAAAGCAACTACCTTGATTTTGTATGGAAATTGCTTGTGTGGTTTGCAAATTTGAGGCTCAAAATACTGTTCTTGGACAATTTGAAGTTTGGAATCTCACACAGTGTCCAGAATACTTCCAATGGATAAACAGAATGTGTCTAACATTCTTTGTTTTACACATTTTTCTCCTGTTGCAGACATACCAGGAGCTTGCTGTCAGTGTATTCCTTCCCATGGAGCCAGAGGTAACAATCACATTGCCAGACTTTACACGCTTCACAAATACACACTTCATAAATCCCAAAGAGTTGCAAAAAAATAAATAAAACCTAGAAAATTCTCTTCTTTCAAGCAAAAGAAGAGACAGACACAAAAAGAGAATGACAACATAATCTGAGAATAACCTGGAAAGCTTGTTCTAGAGTTTTTCTCCATTATTCTGCCCATACTATTTTGAATTCCTCAGCCTCCTAAGCCAGAGGCATGCCACAAATTAGTTTTATAAACAGTTTCCTATTCGTGAGCCTGTCATTAATTCCAAAGATAGCCCTTGGAGGATTTGGATTTGTCTTTTTCTATTTAATCCAGTTAGGGAGTATAGCAAACAGTGACACAAACAGGATTACATTTGGAAGAGTTCTGTGCCTGGTTATGTGAGTGGCACACAGACACTCTGAGCTCTGCTGTCCTGCCCTGCAGTTTGCTGTCTTCCCAGCTGCTCCTCCTCTTCTTTTCTCGTTTATTGTAAACACATTTAAAAAATACACATTTATTTGGAAAAAAAAATCAGATTAAAAAAAAAAAATAAAGGAGAAGGAGGGAAGTTGTGTGCCATCCTGATTTTAAACTTCTTATCTCTCTTTGTTACTACACTTGTGTCCTGGTGCTCTAATGTTAGCTGGATGTGGATTTCCAGCACTCCGTTCCCCTGAATGATGTGACAGCCTTGTAATCTTGTCTGGTAGCAGGAGCAGAACCAAATGTCCTCTGCTCCCACAGAGTACTTCCAACGTTTCTCTGGTGATGGTTTCTTAGAAGTAAATTGTTATTAGGATTTTGTAAGTAATGAGTGCTTTTTGAAATAAAAACATGGATTTTTAAACACTGAGGGTAACTTGAAACACTGAAATGAAATACAGAAAATACCAGTATATTGTCCATTTCAGATTACCTTCAAATCAAGGCAAAGATTTAAAATAATGAAAAGCTGTTAAAGCATCAATAATTCTGTGTTCCTGGAAGTAATAATTGCATATTGATTATGGCAGCTGGTGTGCTAAATGGTCCCAATTGCTCTATCCATGATCATCTCTCTCCATTATTTGTAACTCACTCAATTTCTGCCATTAGCTGCAAACTGTATCAGAAAATAATTTTCTTCCCAGATATTGTCAGGAATAAAGTTCTTTAGAAGAAAGACAGATTGATACAGACTTCCATTAAAAACCTGCCTGGTTTTGAATGATTTTTAATCTCTTTAAGATTTTGAAGCCTACATGTAGCCAGATTCAAGTCTGTCAAATGGTGATGGGCTTTATAGACTCTTAGGACTAATATATCTAGAGTGACTGGCTTTGGTATTTCATGTAAGTTGTTATAGGTAGCAAGGTTCACGTTTAAAAAGATACCTGATAATATATCAAAAACACTCATAAGATAATCAAGATAAACTTAATAACTTCTTATGTTTTTCTGACTAGAGGCCTAGTTTTCAAATGTATCTTATCTGTACTGTGGTATGATTTGCATTGAAATAAAAAAAGTCACAGAATGCGTTTTCTAAGTTTATGTATAATTTGTACATTAGGTAGTATTAATTTTGGTGCTGTGCACTTATACTTCAGATGGTAACTGACATGATTCAATGTGAATCATCAGTCACAACAACATGGCAGTGTAAATCGTTCAGATTACGTCTTAAGGTTTCAATAAATAAGATCTAAACTAATTGAAAAAGCCAACATTCAAAACCTCAGAGCCAATAGTCAGTAAAAGTAAAAAGTTTTCTCCTTCACATTTTGTAGATAGGAAAGAAGACTGTACTCTGTGTGTTTGTTAAGTAATACACCTTTGCAAAGCTGAGGTAAACTTATCTGGCTATTCTTTAAAACATTTAAGTTGCAATTAGTATAATGGTCCATCAGTTTCTGTGTCTAGCTACCTTCTAGTGCCAGAGTTAGATCTTCAGTTTGCCTTTTAAAGTGTCTTTTTTAAAGGGATTGTTAAGGAAACCTGAAAGGAGCTGTAATGGATCTAACCCTGTGGAAGTTTTCACTGAAGGTGAAAATGGTCTTTATGAAAGTGCTGTAAGGTACAGGTTGAGTGGCATAAACTCTGTTCCTCAAACTCAGCAGCCTTTGCAGCTGCTAATGCTGAAAAGTCTCAGAGGAATGGATTATGCAAAGTGAACTTCAATTTCAATCCACTCTAAATTAAAAGCCTCATGTAGATGATGGATTTTCCCTTACAGAGCCCTGTGTGAACTGGACTTCAAACTGGTTTTCACAGCAGTACAGTATCTCAAGGGTTGAGAGGGTGGGACTGAAACTGTGTTGCTGGAAGTGGAGATAGGGCTGTTTCACCTCCATTACAAAGGAAGCACTGAGAAGAACAGCTGTTTTTAAGATATTATCTGGCCTCATGCACAGGCAGTCTGA